TAGCAGTGCCATGTATAGCACAGACAAAGAGAAAAAGAGCTGTGCTTAGAGCAGGAAGTAGCTATCTTTAAAGTAAAAAGCATATCTTTCTAATCCCTCTACCTTTTTTCCCCTTAAAGTGATTTTGTTCCATTGTCATATTGTTGGCACCTGGGCGAGGCAGGAATTGAAGAACACACAAGGAGGCCTTCAAGTCCACAACCACAATTTCCCTTTCTCCCTTTCTAGTAGACTTACTTACATATGACTTCTGTGGTAAAACACACAATACTTCAATCCTCCCTTCCACAGCTGCAATTTTATGCTTTATGCTGCTTATAATTGCCAATAACAAAAATAGCTTATTCATGCTCTTTCTATAAAGAGAAAAAAGAGCCTGAATAATTACAGCTTCTCTTGAAATCATAGCCCATAAAACACTAGCTACAAGAGAAACATGGTTTCCACTGTCTCAGAAATAAGTTAATATTTTGCCATAGAGGAAAATAATTATATTTTTAATGATTTTTTTTTTAATCACAATGTTAAAAATACAAATATTCAGCACAATATTAAACCTCGAATAAGGTAGCTCAACTGTAGAGAATAAGGGAAATGGCTGAGGTAAATAGGCAAGAATCATTGTAGACGCAGGTAGACTCCTCAGTCATTCAGACAACTGGGTCTTTCTGAAAGGGCCAGTCTAATGTCAGGTGGATGAGGTTATAAAAGCCAGCAAATGAAGGAGGACATGTTTACTGTAAGAATCCAGCCATCATAAAAGGTGTTTCTTTGTGTCTGTTCAGTATCAGATATATGGTTGATAGAAAGTTAGCTATAGCACTGGTTTGTGGTCCTTCCTCATTCTCATATGTGCAGTGGTGGTATGCTGCCGGTTTGCACTGGTTCTAGCAATCTGGTAGCGCCAGTCAGCAGTTGGCCCCACCCACCTGTCCCCGCCCTTTCCTGTCCTATATTTCCTTTGTTTTTAGCTCAGCTGATAGGCATGGTAGAGCAGATTGCTGTGCCTTAGCTGTTTTACTCACCAGCGCTGACAGTAAGGTAAGTCGAAGCGCGTGCCCACAGAATTAGTAGTAAAATATTTTGAATTCCACCACTGTACATGCGTTTTCAATACTTTACTCGATGGACTTTTTTCTCCCTTTAATCTGCATGAAGATAAATGTGCAAAAAGAAAAGAGTTTACAAATATATTATTAAGAAGAAACACTAGGACAAATTAGGACTTTGCAATCACAGAAGTTGATTTTCGATTCCAACTTCAATTCTGCAAAGCAGTTGCCAGCCCTTACAACCCATCGTCATCTTTTCTCTCCTTTTGACAAAAATTGCCAGACCATGGAACAGTGTATCATCATCCAATCATCATATGGTCAGGTGACCATTGAAAATGTAATAGTAGAGAGAAGATGAGGAGGACAGTGACAAGAATTATCATGCTGCTATCAGCTCCAACATAGATTCTGACAAATGTTCTGTATATATCAGGTTTGCCAGTGAGCCCTTTGAATGAAGGAATCCTTGAATTCCTGTACATTAGAATGAACCTTTCCTTTCTCAGGTTGGATTCCCTATTTAGTTCCTCATGCAACATTTCTTTTTTTCTAGTCCAACTTGCAGAATTGTCTTAGGGGGAAGAAATGGCTAATGAGGAATTAGGAGTTGAATGTTTTCTGATACATAGGCTATCAAAGAACTGACTCTTTCTCTCTCACCGTCTAATCTTTTGTGTAGAAGGAATGTTCTCTTTAATAAGAAGAATTTGTTTCCCTTACTCTTTAACACAGTTTGCTTTCCATAAGTAGAAAAATAAGTTCAGGCTGTCCTTGATTCTAATTGCAGCTGAAAACTTTCATATATTTTTGGAATATCATACTTTCCTTCCTATTACAACAAGTAACTATGACAGGGAGAATTAATAGACATCCAGTACATCATTTCATATTACTCCTAATATTACAGCTAATAATATACATTGGCAGCCAGCTTCCTCAACAGTTCTGAGTATGTGTGGCTCCTGGATATTTAAGATGTAACATCAGGGACAAGGAGTGTAGAGAAAATCCCACAATTATTTCCCATTAAGCAGCTCAGAATAACTTTTTCCACTCCATTTCCCCAACTTCATTTTTTTTTTCAAAAGTGGGGTTATCATACAGGTTTCGGTTTGTATGATTCATTTCTCAATATACTGTATATATAGTGTGGGTATTTACTGGCTTTCATGTTGGTCAAATAGTTTCACTCTGTCTAATATATCTGCCTATCTGTCTAACTATCCATCTATTATAAATTGGCAGCCTTTTTCTGTCTGTCTGTCTGTCTCTATCAACTTACCTACCTACCTATCTATATCTATCTATCAGTCTATCTTTCTGGCTGGCTAGCTATCATCTATGTATCTCACAAGTTGACAGCCTCTTTCTTTCTTTCTTTTTTTCTATCATCAGGTAGCTAGCTAGCTATGTATCTATCACAAGGACAGCCATTGTTTGTCTGTCTGTCTGTCCCTCCGTCCATCCATCCATCTATCCATAATCTGTCTGTCTGTCTATCTATCTATCTATCTATCTATCTATCTATCTATCTATCTATCTATTTATCTATCTGCCATCTATCATCTCCTCTCCCTCTCTTTCTTCATTCTGTGAATTTGAGACAATTAATTTAAAAATATTCTCAAAATATATTTAAAACATGCATTCCAATTCGTTTTAATTTAGGAGTTTTTTTAAAAGAAAAAAACATTATTGGATGAATGCAGAAATGGACCCAGCATGGCAGATCTGCTTTTTCTCCAAATGATGAAAGTGTTTTGCAGTTGCATGGCAACACTGGTGTTCAAGGCAACAATAATGATTCCAAAGGGACTTATTTATTTATCGCCACTGTGCTATGTAGGCAGAAGCTACATTCTCTGGAAAAAAATGGGACTTCTGGATATTTAAGGGCCAGTTCAAGTGCAACATTGGGAAGAGGCAGTGTGTGTGGGGGGGAAATATCCCATAACTTCTCAGCACAAGGCCAAGGAAAAGAAGCACTCCAATTGGTTCTATGCATAGAATAGAATATCATATAACAAGGGCAGGGGTTCAATTTTTTTAACAACCGGTTCTGTGAGCGTGGCTTAGTTGGTGGGTGTAGCTTGCTGGTCATGTGACTGGGTGGGTATGGCCAACTCGACGTCACTCACATCAAGGGGCTCTTCTCGCCTGGCCTCTCATGACAGTAGGGAAGCTGCAATGGTCGTAAGTGTGAAAAATGGTCATAAGTCACTTTTTTCAGTGCCACTGTAACTTTGAATGGTCACCAGTTTTAGACCAAAACTCAAAAAGGATATGTAAACTCATGTTCGAATGTCAATCTTTCTAGCTAGCCAAGAAGCCTTGCTGAATATCCCTCATCTTGGTTCCTTGTCATTATAAGCTTCTTTCTGGCAGCTCTGCTTCATTATTCAATTATTTCTTCAAAGTGCTAACTCCATCAGGGGAGTATTTCATCCCAACAGCAGTGAAAAAAGCTTAAAACAACCCTTCCCCTTTACCAGCAAAAAAAACCCCTCCTTTGGAGACAGTAAGTCTAGGCATACTGCCAAGAATGCAAGAAGGGTGGGAAAAAACAAGGAGATTTCTTCCAACAATCGGTTCTCCGAACTGCTTAGAAAGTTAACAACCGGTTCTAGCGAATAGGTGAGAACTGGTAGAATCCCACCCCTGAACAAGGATCTTCAAACTTGGCAAGTTTAAAACTTGTAGACTTCAACTCCCAGAATTCCTAACATGACTGGAGGAGGAATTCTGAGAGTCTAAGTCCATAAGTCTTAAAACTGTCAAGTTTGAAGACTCCTGTCGTATAAGGATAACAGTTTACTATGATACTAGAAAGGCCAACATCATTTGACATTTCATAAGGGATTATAAGACTCAACAACAACAACAAATCCTGGGAAATTCTGGGAGTTAGAGCCCACATATCTTAAAATTGCTGAGGTGAGGAAACACTGTTCTATACTAAGATAATATACCAGTGGGAGAATTGTGTGAATTGCCAATATTTGATGTGGAGGGAAAATAATTGTGTGAATTGCCAATATTTGATGTGAAGGGAAAAGAAATCAACTTCAATACTTTGCTAGCAGATTGAAAGAGAACAACCGTTAACCTAACACTTACGGAAATGTAATGGATCAGTTTGCTGTTAGGTAGGAAAATGAGTTGTAGTATAAATTCTACCTTTGGATTTTACAGAAGCTTTTGAAAATTGTACTAAAGCTGTTTCCTTTTCTTCCTCCTTTGTTCTTTGATTTCCTCCGATTTCTTTCTCTTTTGATTCCCCCCCCCCTTTTTTTTCCTTTCAGGAGGAGATTGTCTGCTCCTTTTCCACCACCATAATCTTCCTCCTTCTATTGTCAGGCATATTCAGAGTTCTTTTGTGTACTTTTAATTTATGTCTGTTTCCACTCAATTGGTTTAGCCATTTGGGCATCCCCGTGAGGTACTGTTTGGATATTCTGTCTGAAGCACCAGAAACACCTCTTGTCTATTTTTGCCTTAGATTTTTTTTTTCTCCTTTGTCTGAGGAGCTGCTCCTGTGCTTTTAATAATAGCTTAATGCGTCCAGATTCAGTAAATGCAGCTGCGGTTAGGCAATGGCTCCTGTCAGAGAAACAAAGGTGGCAAATACAGACTTTTCTATTTTGGTGCAATACTCTTAAGGCAAGCCACATAATTTTCTGCTCAAAATTAGCCTTTTTAAAGAGCTGGTTGTATTTATGCACCCTTTTTCCTTTTTTGTATTCAAAATGAGGCATATTGTCTACTTGTGACTTACAAGAAGATAAAATGCTTGGGTTTATTCCTAATGCAAGCTAAGAGTGATGAACGGTAAAGGTACATGGGTGGATCAACTGTGTAACTGATGCTTTCAGAAAAGAAAAGAAAATACCCGCATGACATTATTTTTTGTGTGTTTGTGTATGTGTGTTTCTCTTTGGACTTCAGGATGATCTTCAGCCTGTTGCATCTGAAACCAACTGGGAATCAGTCACAAGCCCGGTCTTGGTAAATAATTGTTAATCTATTTTTTTTAAAGAAGAGGAAGTAACTTAAAATCAATTGAGAACCACAGCAAGGAGATAAATTGGATTTAAGCATTCTGCAAAGCTATTATATAATTTGTTTTATTTTGGCTTAGTGCATTATGAGAAATGAAATGATTACAGCTTGTTCAGCAAACCAGTGTTAAGCAATTAATGTGATGTGTCAAACAGATCGCTATAACGCTGGCAGGGTTACTAGCAGAGACATTTCTATTACTAATACTGCTTTGGGATTTGTTGATAGCAATGAAATCCAGCTTATATTTTTCAATGAATCGGTCAATCATCAATTTTTCCACCAATTCAGTCCAAAGTTTTATCTGGCAATATCCTGACTATTCAGAATAGATATTAGTTATTTGATTTGGGTTCCTTGGAAACAGCATTACAGAGCATTACAAAGTAGGAAAAGAATGGGATGGTTTTACCTGAGGAAAGTCCAAGGTACCATCTTTAGCAATCCCAGTTTAAGCAGATAAGTAAAAGGTATTGGCCACCCCGCTCTATCAGATGATGTGGGGAATCAGTGCTATTCAGAATAAATCAGAGTTTTCCAAACTTGGCACCCATCAAAGATCTCAAGAACTGTACCTCTCAAAATTCGTACATGTCATGGAAACCACCTTGAGGCTAGGGAAAGCTACAAAAGTTTAAGTCTGGGTAGATGGATAAATAGGTTAATCTGGATAAACTCCTGTGTATTTGCTGTGGTTGCTCAAATGAACCTCACACTTCTTACTTGCTTCAAAGACACAAGGAAAAAATGAGTTTCATGTCCAAATTTTCACTATTAACGATGCTCAGGAAATAATTTGCTACTGGTTTGGATGTTATTACAGAACAATAGAGGGCATCAATAATAGGTGCAAGAATTAAATCTTGTCATGATTCAAAAATGATTCAGAAGCCTGCAATGCAGCAAGGTAGAAGCAGCATTTTTCAGAGTTCAGCCTGAAAACAGACATCATTGATTTAAGGAGTCAACTCTTTAAATCAGCCATATTGGAAAAGTCTGGAAAAAAAGACATGGCGAGTTTAAAGATATGCTGCAATTTATTCTCCTCTGCAGTTTGAAACACTCCTTCTGAATCATTTCCAAAGCATGAACATCCCTGCAAGCTATCTTCAAGAATGTACACTTAATCTGTTCTTTTATTGAGCAAACTGCAGTGGTTTCTTTTAAAATTACTTTCTAATTCCAGCATTAGATTTCATTTATACATTGGGTAACCACAAAACATCATTTTTGTTTGACATTTGTTTAAAACGAGCCACTAGTATTTCTTCCCAAGCAACAATCAATTGTTGAATGGAAAGAGTTAGGTTTATAATCCAGCAAGTCTTAATTTGGTCTGTTAAATAATTCTTCTTTGTCTTATCCTTGAGATGCAGCGCTTAAGCCATAGGGCATATTTAAATATGTTTTCCTTTAATACCGTTCATACTCTCAGCAACAAAAAAACAAAAAAGGCAGACTTGTTTAGTTTATCCTTAGCAACTAGATTTCCCTGAGAATCTGCTATCTAGTTGTTTTAGAGTATGAGATTGTTCTCCTGACTTGTCTCCACCTCACTCCTCTATCAAGAAAATAGAGCTTCCTTTTTCAGTATGGACATTGAGTTTTGAAAATCTATTTTTACAAATGCCAGGAATTTGTACAAAAGGAAAGTAATAGTAATGATACTATTCTTTGCTCACCTTGGTGTCTTCAAATTTCTCTCTGGTTCATTATCTCAACACAGCTCACGTCTATCTAGACCGCAGCAATAAAAAAAAAATCAGGCACATAGTACTTCATGACCACAGAACTTGCTTCTTTACAATTCTTGTTCCACCTTTCTATTTCACATCTAACATAACTTTTCCTTAAAATACCTCTTGGCTTGTTCTTATTTTTTTAACCCTTGCAAAACGTGTGCCTTGGACGTTCGTTCCATTTACTCCACCTATGTTAGAGTCTTCTTGACTCTCTGACAATTGCATCCTTTTTCCTTACTGATTCTTATGCTTGGAAGTATTCTTGAGGATGTTTCCAGAAGACCATTTCTCCTTTAAATTCTTCTTCAAAGCCCACCTTTTGATAAAATTCAAGTCATCTCCCATTTCCTGCATGTCATGTCTAGTAACGTGTCTAGTAACTAAATACTAGAGAGTGGAGTCCTGGCCTAGAGGTGGAGGTCTCACCTTGCAATCGGGAGGCTGTGAATTTGATCCTAGGTAGAGGCAGATATTTCTCTCTCTGGGCACGATGTGAATAAATCTGCTGAATATAACTCTGCACTGATGACAGGAAGGGCATCCGGCCAGTAAAAACTAAGTTCCATTCAGTTGCCCAAACTCCACCCCACAAGGGATTATGGCGTCATTAAAAGATGATGATTGTAACTAAATGCTAGAATTTTTTCTTTCTCTCCATTCCTCCCCTTTTTCATTATTTTTCTTCTTTTTTTTATATAGAGGTGCTATTTTGATTTTATTCTCTTCATCACCAAGATCTAAACAAAACCCAATAAACAAAACAATAACTATGAAAAGGGTATTTAGAAACCAGGACCTGCCTGTTACTTCAGTGATGGACAAGGTTTGGGGTCTGCAGTTTAACCTCCCCCACTTTTTAATGTGTCATGGGAAGCTATCTGGTAACATGCTGTCACAACAAAGGGTGGAACTGAACGTTTTTAACTTCTTTTAGGGGGCTGGGAGTGTGAAGAATAGCAAGAAACTGCAGGGAGGCAAATTGCTCAAACATGACAAACTCTAAAATTGTTTTCTGGTCAGAATCAGGTCCTTTGAGAGATTAAGCATGTGGGAGTAGTAGATGCCTGTAAGAGGCCTCTTGCTTCCCTGTCACTTAACTTTTCAATAAAAAAATAAACCCCCAAAACCTTAGCTAAGTTGGGTCCCTTTTATCACAAGATTCTATGAACATAATCTTGGGATGCTGATGTTTTTATGCAGATCACAGATTGGTCATCCTCACTGTTTACCTTCATGAACCATTGTCCTGTCCTTTCATCTTCCCAGCCTCTATGCATTCGGCTGGGAAATTTAGACTTGCTCTGTATAGCCGGAGGAGAAGCTATACTGGCGTTTGCTGTATTTCAAGGAAAGTATGTATCTTAGCAAGAACGTACTTTATTTGAGAGCTGTGATTTGCATCAAACAAATGTAAGTCAAAATTCATCTGAGAACTTCTCACTAAGATTGAGAAGAACAAGCACCGTTCTCTACACTTCCAAAGGTAAAGTTAAATCGAGTCCAATTCTAGGGGGCAGTGTTCATCTCCATTTCTTAGCTGAAGGAGTCAACATTGTCCAAAGATCCTTTCTGTGGTCATGTGGCCAGTATGACTATATGCTGAAGTGCACAGAACAATATTACCTTCCAGCGATGTGGTACCTATTTATCTACTTGCATTTTCATGCTTTCGAACTGCTAGATGGGCAGGAGCTGGGGCAAGTAATGGAAGCTCACCCCAACATCTGACACTTGGTCTCAAACCTGGACTATCAGCTTTCTAGCTGACAAAACAGTGCCTTTAACCACTGAGCCATCATGCCCACTTTGAACACCTCGGTCCCGTACAATTACATTTGCATTATTGTGTATACATGTTTGTTTACAAAGACATATACCTAGAGAACACAAGGGTTGCTTTCAGTAATGTTTAGTTCCAGCAGTGCAATAATTCATTGTTGCTATTAAATCTGGAAAGAGTTGTTTTGAACTCTTTGTTCTTTTCTACATAATGCTCAAAGCACTCTGCCCTATATGTCATTCTTAGGGCATTTCCTATCGCTCCCCATCAGTGACTGACCCCACTCTTACGATGGAAGCCTTGGATCAAACCATTGCTGGGTTTGATACTGTGGAGGAATTGCTCAAGCACTTTAATCCAGACACATGGCAAGAAGATATGGATCACCTGTACACAGAGAGTGCCCCACCTCGAGGCAGAAGTTTCTATGAGAGGAAGTCGAAAGGTAAGAAGCAAAAATGGTTAGATGGATGCGTGGCAGAGTAATCTGTTCAATACAATGTTAATTTTGTGACTGACATGGTTAAAATCCTTGGAGGGATGTTGTAAAATTTTAGCAACCATATTTCATTCAGTAAGAATTAAAATTCTTAACAACCAGTCTACATAATGAACATAAAATCCACCTGCTCTTACAGGTGCTGATGCCAGCTGTTCTTCTAAGTGTAGTGTGATTTTTTTATTTTTTTAAAAAAAATTATTGGTTTTTAAAAACAAATATAAACAAACAAAACATAAAAACATCAAGCTGTCTTCCATAGGAGTACATACAGTGTGCCAGTTGGTTTACAAATTGTTTTGTGCTTCCATTTTGTAGTCTTCAATTACAATTACATTACATATAATCTCATATTGTCAATCAAAAACTAAATACCTTAGTATCATTATTAATCAATCATTTGAGTATACTTTTATTCATTCATGTTTTACAAGATAACCATAATTTACTTAATTTATTGTATAACAGTTCATGTCATCCCAGATCTATCCTAAAATCACTTTGTAGTTATAATAAGAAAGAAGTACATCTTTATATATTTATTATTTTCTAGAAATCTACATATTTCATTACTGTACTTTGTTATCTAACCATTGATAGAAAAGACCCCAAATTTTATAAAATTGTTTATCCTCTTGTTCTCGAATTTCAAATGTCAATCTACTCATTTCAGCACATTCCAATATTTTCTTAATGATTTCCTCCTGTGATGGTATCTTCTCATTTTTCCAGTTTTTAGCAAATACAATCCTAGCCATTGTTATTACATTTACAATCAGGTATTTCAAGTTTTTACTATATATTTCAGGTAAAATTCCCAATAAAAATATCTCTGGTTTCAAGTCTATATGTTTTTTTGTCATTTTTTCCAACCACATGTGGATTTTAGTCCAGTATTTTTTAGCATCCGCACAAGTCCACCACATATGGTAATATGAGCCAAGTGTCTGATAACATTTCCAACATTTTCGGATTTATTCTTGAACATTCTTGCTATTCTTGTCGGGGGGGAAATGCCATCTGTAAAACATCTTATACAAATTTTCTTTATATGCTGTTGACATTGTCATTTTATAATTTTGAGACCACAATTTTTGCCATTTCTCTAAATCAATCCCATATCCAAAATTCTTCCCCCAAGCAATCATTGTTTCTTTAACTTGTTCTTCTTCTAGTTTAATTTCTAATAGATTTCCATATAATTTTTTAATCACCTTTTCATCAGTACCTGTCAAAATCTTATCTAAATCAGTCAATTTATCAAGAAAACCTTCTGTTTTAGAATCTTTATCATACCTTGAATGTATTTGCGGGTATAAAAACCAATTCATCTTCATACCTTGTTCCTCTAGTTTTTGCATAGATTTAAGTTCACCCTTTTCATTCAGTATTTCACCATATCTAACTGTTTGTTCCTTGTTTTATATTATAGGATATGAAAATGCTTCAATAGTCGATAACCAGACTGGAATTTTCAAATAACATTGTCTTTTAACCTTCTCCCAGTTTAACCACAGAGACTCCCGTATATAATGTATTCTAAAATACCCCTGTTTTAGTTCCTTTGTACCATAAAAAAGCATACCACCCCAACAATAGATCATGTCCTTCTAATGTCAACAATCTAGCATTTCTTAGTGTTATCCATTCCTTAGCCCACATCAAATTTGTAGCTTGGTAGTACAATTCCCAATTAGGCAAACCAAATCCTCCTCTAATTCTAGCATCTTGCAAAAGTTTTAACTTTATTCTCGCTTTCTTACCTTGCCATATATATTTCAACATGATTTTATTTAAATCTTCAAAATAATCTTTTCCAAGCCTAATTGGAATTGTCTGAAACAGACATAAAATTCTGGGTAATATATTCATCTTGATTGTTGAGATTCTCCCTATTAATGAAAGTTGTAAGTTTTCCCATTTCGCCAGATCTCGCACTATCTGCTGTTTAAGTTTAATATAATTATTCTCTTTTAATGTACTACATCTTGCTGTCAAATATATCCCCAAATACTTGATCTTATTCGTGACTTGAATTTTCAATAGGTCTGCCAGTTCTTCCTTTTGCCTTAATAGCATATTCTTTGTCAAAATCTTTGTCTTATCTTTATTTATTTTCAAACCAGTCACCTTTCCATATGTCTCTATCTTTTCTACCAATTTTGATGCTGTTTCTAAAGGGTCTTCTAAGATGAAAACTAGAGCATCCGCAAATGCTTGCAGCTTAAATTCTTCCTTTTTGATTTTCATTCCTTTTATATTCTTTTCATCTCTAATATTCCTGTTTAACACTTCAAAAGTTAACACAAACAACAAAGGTGATAGTGGGCACTCTTGTCTTGTTCCTTTTCTTATATTAATAGAGTCTGTCAGCTCTCCCTCTATCATTACCTTTGCCATTTGCTTATAGTATATAGCTTCTATTGCTTGGATGAATTTTCTAGCAAAACCCATCTGTTCCAACAATAATAACATGAAACACCAATTCACATTGTCAAATGCCTTCTGTGCATCTAGAAATATCAGAGCTATTTGTTTTTCAGGATGTGCCTCGTAGTATTCCAAGGTGTCCAAGATTACTCTCATATTGTCTTTAATTTGTCTCTTTGGCAGAAATCCATTTTGATCAGGATGGATAAAATTATTTAAATATTTTTTAAGTCTTTCTGCCAAGATCATCTTGTTGATGATCCAAGCTCTGTAAAGGACCTTGGAATACTCATCTCTAATGATCTAAGTGCTAGAGCCCACTGTAACTACATAGCCAAAAAGGCATTAAGAGTTGTTAACCTAATCGGACGTAGCTTTTTCTCTGGTAATATCACACTACTAACTAGAGGATACAAAACATTTGCTAGACCAATACTTGAATACAGCTCATCAGTCTGGAAACCACATTACGTATCTGATATTAGCACAGTTGAGAAAGTCCAGAAATATTTCACAAGAAGAGTTCTCCACTCCTCTACTCGTTGTAGAATACCTTATGCCACTAGACTTGAAATTCTAGAACTAGAAAACCTTGAATTACGCCGTCTTCGGTCTGATCTAAATATGGTATATAAAATCATACATTGCAATGTCCTACCTCTCAATGAATACTTCAGCTTCAACCATAACAACACAAAAGCATACAATAGATACAAACTCAAGGTTAACCTCACCAAACTTGATTGCAGGAAATACGACTTCAGCAACAGAGTGCTCAATGTCTGGAATACTCTACCTGACTCTGTAGTTTCTTCCCCAAACCCCAAAAACTTTAACCTTAGACTGTCTACTATTGACCTCACCCCTTTCCTAAGAGGTCTGTAGGGGGTGTGCATAAGCGCACAAACGTGCCTACCATCCCTGTCCTATTGTTTCTTTTATTTTTCTTATATGTACCCATTTCATGTATTCATAACTATGTATATACTTATACTTATTATCTTGTAAGCAATTGACAAATCAAATAAATAAAAATAAAAAATAAATAAATATTGAAGTAAAGATTTTGTAATCTGCATTTAGTAAAGAAATAGGTCTATAGTTCTTAATTTGTAATAGGTCGGCATCCTCTTTAGGAATAAGTGTAATATAGGCTTCTGAGCATGATTTAGGTATCTTCTTCTTTAACATAACTTCATTCATAACTTCTAGCAATGGAAGATTCAACAATTCTTGTAATGTTTTATAAAATTCTGCCGGAAGTCCCTCTGGGCCTGGTGCCTTTCCATTATTTTGCTTCTTGAATTCTTCAGTTAACTCCATCATCGTTATGTTGCTTTCTAACATTTTTTCAGTCTCTTTAGGTATCTGAGGTAAATTAGCATTCTGTAAGTACTGCTTAACTCTCTATTCATCAATATTCTCTTGCATATATAATTTCCCATAAAAGTCTCGAATGATTTCCTTCTTCTCTTTGCTACCATGGCAAACTTGGCCTTGGTCATCTATTAATTACAATATTTTCCTTGATTCTTTCTCCTTTCTCAATTTATATGCTAGCCATCTACCTGGTTTATTTGCGTCTTCAAAGTAGTTCTGTTTGGCACCTCTAATTTTCTGTGCTAATTCTTCTTTTTCTATTTGACCCATTTTTATTTTTTTTAAAAGTGATTATCTCCCTCTTATGCTGCAGTGAGATAATTAAGATGGTTGCAGAGGACAAGAGTAGGTAGATAATGGTAATTAGCTAACTGGTAATTAGGACATCCATGTCTTATACGCAGCAACTGGCTTTAACATAAAGCCCTAAAGCATTTGTTCCCTGGAAAAATAGTTAGCAATGTCCAGATTTTATTAGATGAGCCCAAGGCAGCTGGATATATCAGAGGACACTTTAGTCAGTTGAGCAAACTAAAAAAATATATATTCTGCCTGGAGCAAATACTTATTCCTTACTACAGTACTATATTGGTTTGAGAAATTCAGCACCCAATGTAATATATGCATTATTGTTCAAAGTGGATGCATCTATGATTCTTGATGCATTGCAAGTTGTCTTTTCACCATTTTGATTGACAGTGCATGCGTGTCTACATACGTGTGTGTGTGTGTGTGTGTGTGTGTGTGTGTGTGTAGGCATAAAAGTCGCAATGCATGCCTTTATTTTCTGGAGGGTGTTTGTATGTGTGTCTCTGTTGTGCCTGTACATGTGTCTCTGTTTATTAATGGCAAACTCATTTTCCAAATAACTACGTGGCCAAAATCCTTCTACCCATGCTAAAAATGGGGATGCCATCAAGCTTTGGAGGACCTAAGGTTTGAAAAAATATGAAGAATTCCAAAAAAGAATGTAAAGAGGTCTGAACATACTGCATGTGCTCATCATATGTGTATATATGATTGCTTGATTGCACCTGCAATTTCTGTATATATTTGAATGCTACCCAATCATATGGAAAACTTGAACATTCATAAAGTTATAATGTTGATATTATTATATTATATCCATTACATTA